AGCACGAGAGGGCAGTGTTCTGGGTTGTCTGGGTCCCCGAAGGAGCCTTTGCATAAGCAACATTCCTGGCTTTCCTGCAGGCCGAGAGCACGTGTGCGTGTGTTATCTATAGAAACGTTGGTGGTGACATCTCCATCCCACCAGCTCACACACCTCTGCTGAGGGCGGAGAAAGTCCTCTGAGGCGTCCCTGGCGTCGGCTCTACCTTCTTTCGAATGACCTCTGTGTCTGTGTGAGTGCAGTGTGCATGGGCGAAATCTGTTGCAATACAATTTTTCAGATTTATTTTTACTCATGCATGTAAGATCTGGGGTGCAGGCCAGAGGCACAGGGTACAAGAGGATTCCCCAGAGACAGAGCAGAACAGGCCGATGGACTGACACCCACTGCTGAGGAGGCAGCGGGGAGCCAGGAGGGGCCTGCTGTCTCTGTGGGTCACTCCCGGGCCGGGGATCGAACTCAGGCCATAGCGGCTGGCCATAGCTCCATAGTGCTGAGGCTTTAACCCCTCCGCCACCAGGGGAGCCCTAAATTACATTTTAATTTTATAGTCAAGGGGCAAAATCAGTCTTGAAAATTACTCTCCTTTTTGCCTGGCCACCTGCAGGTTTAGCACTAAATTTGGGGCCACCCTCTGGCTACGTCTGAGTGGCATGCATTTCAGGGCCCTGGCCCCTGTTATTAGCGGGACTTGGTGTTCCTTGATCCATTATATTTTGGAGCCAGAACGTCCTGTGTGTTGGGTCAGCCAACGCCCACCCCTCCGGTCAGCCGACCCGCAGCAGGGGCCGCCACCTGGGCTGCTGCCTACCTGTGCACAGGTGTGGCCACCATGTGGTCAGCATGTCCAAACACTTCTGTAATGGTTGGTCAGGACACGGACGCGATGCCACCACCCCCTTGGGTGTTCCCCCTACAGCGGCCCCTCACGGACTCCCCCCACAACCCCCAACATCCGGGACCTAGTATCAGAAGTTTTCAGGGCCCTCCCTGGCCGCAGTGGGGTGAAGCGCAGCACTGAGAGGCTAAAGCCGCTCCCGCGTGAGTTCGATCCCCGCCTGTCCCGGAGGTGACCACAGGGCGCGGCAGACCCCTCCTGACCAGCCCGCTGCTCCCCTCAGCAGTGGGCTTCGTCCATCTGCCTGTTCTGCTCCCCACTGTCTCTGGTGAGTCCCCTCACTGCCCCTGCACCCCTGGCCCGCACCCCAGCTCTGTGTGCGTCAATAAATACGTCTTTAAAAACAACAACAGTTTTCAAGCGTGCAGGGTCCCAGAACCTGCACCACCTGCTGACGGAAGGCCGAGCACTCGAGGACCCCGGAGTGGGCAGCCTGGAGCGTGAGCTGCTCCGCGCCAGCCCTGGGCCGAGGAGGACCAGGATCCTGAGCACTGGAGGCGCGGGGGCAGTGCGTCCTGGGGTCCCTCAGGGAGCCCGACCTGCCGGGCTGGGCCGCGCCCGGGGACAGAGGGCAGCCCCCTGCTGGTCCTGGCGGCGGGGCTGTGAGCTGTCCCCAGCTCAGTTTCGGGAACAGACGTGAGCCACCGCGGAGCTGGGGTCTGGAGGCCGTCCGTGTTGGCTGGGCACCGCAGGGATTTTGCTTTTATGGAATTGCCCTACGGAGCTGCCGCGGCCCCGAGACAGGTCGGCAGCACTGTGGTTTCCCTGCTCACCCTGAGCCAGACTGGTGAGGCTCGGGCCGCTGTCGCCCTGCCCTGGTCACTGTCTTCACCGACGACGCCCCACTCTCTGGGACAGGACCTGGCACACGGGGCTGGTAAGTGTCCTGGGCTGAAGCGCCACGTTCAGAGGTTTCTGTTTGTTCTTCTGCTCCGGAAGGAGAAATAGGCAGACACGATCGATGTATTTTCTCCATGGAAGCTTCCAGAATCCCCACCCCTTGTAACAGAAGAAACCTCGGTTGGGAGCTAGAATCCGCGGTTCCGGTCTGCAGGCTCTGTCCCCTCGGCTCTTGGCAGTAGCCTGCCATTTCCTCCTTTATCAGGGCCTCGGGGCTCGGCCCGCGGGAGCTGGTCCCACTCGGGGCTGGCAGCCGGCGGCCCCTCAGACGGTCCCACTGGGACCCTCTGGGGGTGCGCCCCGGGCAGGGCGCGCTGCGAGTCTGCTGGCCGCGTGCCTGGGGCGTCCCTGCGGGCGCCTGGCCGGGCTCTCGGGGTCCTCGAGCAGCCGGTCCCAGCTGTCGATTTCCCCCTTCTCTTTCTGATCCCACCACGGCCAAAGTCAGGGCGGCAGGAGTGCCCGCGTGGCGCTGGAGGAAGCCAGCGGCGGCCGGCACGGAGCCCCCGGCCTCTCAGCCGCAAGGGCAGTGTCCCGAGGGCAGGGCTGCAGACGCGGGCGCAGTTGGCACAGGCAGAACCGTCCCGGAACGCGCAGCAGGGAGGGGCTTCCGGCAGCGTTGGCGCGAGTGCGCCTCCCGCGTGCCAGGCTGTGGAAGCTGTGCCCCCGGGCAGCGCCCGCACCCTCGGGCTTTGGGTTTGCCTTGGGGGGGGGCGCGTGAGAAGCGGAAAGGGGTGTGAGGGCAACGTGAAGCGCTCTCTGGGTCCGCCGCTTTGTGGGGAGGCGGCTGACACCCCCTTAGCCCCAGGACGGTTCTCAGGACACCTCGATCCTGGCAGAAGTAGTGACGGCACCCCCTGCACCCTCAAAGGGCCCCACTTTGGGTGACAGATACCACGCTGCCCCTGCCCAGAAAAGAGCAGGTGGCTGGGGGCCGGGCTGGCCTGTGGGGCAGCGGGCCGGGGCACCGCGCTGCCAAGCCGCGACCAGCCTGGCGCTGCAGCTCCAGTCCCACCCCGCCCGCCCGCCGCCCCTCAGCGCGTGGTTCAGTCCGCCGGCCTGCTCTGCTCCCCGCTCTGTCTCTGGGGGGTCCTCTCACCCCTGCACCTCTGGCCTGCACCCCAGTTCTGTGTGCATAAATGAATAAATCTTTAAAAAGAGCAAAGAATCGGGCTGGTGGAGGGCGCCCTGACCCGGCCCCGCCAGCCGGCCTGCTCGGGAAGGAGCCAGTGGCTCGCGTCACGAGTTACGACTCAAGCTCGGGCCGCAGTCAGTGGGGGGCCTTGGGCTCGGCGCACGGGGTGCCCATGTCGGGGTGCCGCTCCTGCAGGCCGTCGGCCGCGCAGCACCCAGAGCGTGCGGGCAGG